CTCACTTCCCGTGGCGTTGTAAATGTAGATGTCTGTCACAGTATAACCAACTCACTTCCCGTGGCGTTGTAAATGTAGATGTATGTCACTGTATAACCCACTCACTTCACGTGGCGTTGTAAATGTAGATGTCTGTCACTGTATAACCAACTCACTTCCCGTGGCGTTGTAAATTTAGATGTCTGTCACAGTATAACCAACTCACTCACTCACGTGGCGTTGTAACTGTAGTTATCTGTCACAGTATAACCAACTCACTTCACGTGGCGTTGTAAATGTGGATGTCTGTCACTGTATAACCCACTCACTTCACGTGGCGTTGTAAATGAAGATGTCTGTCACAGTATAACCAACTCACTTCACGTGGCGTTGTAAATGTAGATGTCTGTCACTGTATAACCAACTCACTTCACGAGGCGTTGTAAATGGAGATGTCTGTCACTGTATAACCAACTCACTTCCCGTGGCGTTGTAAATGGAGATGTCTGTCACAGTATAACCAACTCACTTCCCGTGGCGTTGTAAATGAAGATGTCTGTCACAGTATAACCAACTCACTTCACGTGGCGTTGTAAATGTAGATGTCTGTCACAGTATAACCAACTCACTTCACGTGGCGTTGTAAACGTAGATGTATGTCACTGTATAACCCACTCACTTGACGTGGCGTTGTAAATGTAGATGTCTGTCACAGTATAACCAACTCACTTCCCGTGGCGTTGTAAATGTAGATGTCTGTCACAGTATAACCAACTCACTTCCCGTGGCGTTGTAAATGTAGAGGTCTGTCACTGTATAACCAACTCACTTCACGTGGCGTTGTAAATGTAGATGTCTGTCACAGTATAACCCACTCACTTCCCGTGGCGTTGTAAATGTAGATGTCTGTCACTGTATAACCAACTCACTCACTCACGTGGCGTTGTAAATGTAGAGGTCTGTCACTGTAGAACCAACTCACTTCACGTGGCGTTGTAAATGTAGATGTATGCCATAATGTAAATAACTCACTTCACGTGGCGTTGTAAATGTAGAGGTCTGTCACAGTATAACCAACTCACTTCCCGTGGCGTTGTAAATGTAGATGTCTGTCACTGTATAACCAACTCACTTCACGTGGCGTTGTAAATGAAGATGTCTGTCACAGTATAACCAACTCACTTCACGTGGCGTTGTTAATGTAGATGTCTGTCACTGTATAACCAACTCACTTGACGTGGCGTTGTAAATGTAGATGTCTGTCACAGTATAACCAACTCACTTCCCGTGGCGTTGTAAATGTAGATGTCTGTCACTGTATAACCAACTCACTTCCCGTGGCGTTGTAAATGTAGATGTCTGTCACAGTATTACCAACTCACTTTCCGTGGCTTTGTAAATGTAGATGTCTGCCATAATGTAAATAACTCACTTCACGTGGCGTTGTAAATGTAGATGTCTGTCACTGTATAACCAACTCACTTCCCGTGGCGTTGTAAATGTAGATGTCTGTCACAGTATAACCAACTCACTTCCCGTGGCGTTGTAAATGTAGAGGTCTGTCACTGTATAACCAACTCACTTCACGTGGCGTTGTAAATGTAGATGTCTGTCACAGTATAACCAACTCACTTCACGTGGCGTTGTAAATGTAGATGTCTGTCACAGTATAACCAACTCACTTCCCGTGGCGTTGTAAATGTAGATGTCTGTCACTGTATAACCAACTCACTTCCCGTGGCGTTGTAAATTTAGATGTCTGTCACAGTATAACCAACTCACTCACTCACGTGGCGTTGTAACTGTAGTTATCTGTCACAGTATAACCAACTCACTTCACGTGGCGTTGTAAATGTGGATGTCTGTCACTGTATAACCCACTCACTTCACGTGGCGTTGTAAATGAAGATGTCTGTCACAGTATAACCAACTCACTTCACGTGGCGTTGTAAATGTAGATGTCTGTCACTGTATAACCAACTCACTTCACGAGGCGTTGTAAATGGAGATGTCTGTCACTGTATAACCAACTCACTTCCCGTGGCGTTGTAAATGGAGATGTCTGTCACAGTATAACCAACTCACTTCCCGTGGCGTTGTAAATGAAGATGTCTGTCACAGTATAACCAACTCACTTCACGTGGCGTTGTAAATGTAGATGTCTGTCACAGTATAACCAACTCACTTCACGTGGCGTTGTAAATGTAGATGTATGTCACTGTATAACCAACTCACTTGACGTGGCGTTGTAAATGTAGATGTCTGTCACAGTATAACCAACTCACTTCCCGTGGCGTTGTAAATGTAGATGTCTGTCACTGTATAACCAACTCACTTCCCGTGGCGTTGTAAATGTAGAGGTCTGTCACTGTATAACCAACTCACTTCACGTGGCGTTGTAAATGTAGATGTCTGTCACAGTATAACCCACTCACTTCCCGTGGCGTTGTAAATGTAGATGTCTGTCACTGTATAACCAACTCACTCACTCACGTGGCGTTGTAAATGTAGAGGTCTGTCACTGTAGAACCAACTCACTTCACGTGGCGTTGTAAATGTAGATGTATGCCATAATGTAAATAACTCACTTCACGTGGCGTTGTAAATGTAGAGGTCTGTCACAGTATAACCAACTCACTTCACGTGGCGTTGTAAATGGAGATGTCTGTCACTGTATAACCAACTCACTTCACGTGGCGTTGTAAATGTAGAGGTCTGTCACAGTATAACCAACTCACTTCACGTGGCGTTGTAAATGTAGATGTCTGTCACAGTATAACCAACTCACTTCACGTGGCGTTGTAAATGGAGATGTCTGTCACAGTATAACCAACTCACTTTACGTGGCGTTGTAAATGTAGATGTATGTCACTGTAGAACCAACTGACTTCACGTGGCGTTGTAAATGTAGATGTCTGTCACAGTATAACCAACTCACTTCACGTGGCGTTGTAAATGTAGATGTATGTCACTGTATAACCCACTCACTTCACGTGGCGTTGTAAATGTAGATGTCTGTCACTGTATAACCAACTCACTTCCCGTGGCGTTGTAAATTTAGATGTCTGTCACAGTATAACCAACTCACTCACTCACGTGGCGTTGTAACTGTAGTTATCTGTCACAGTATAACCAACTCACTTCACGTGGCGTTGTAAATGTGGATGTCTGTCACTGTATAACCCACTCACTTCACGTGGCGTTGTAAATGAAGATGTCTGTCACAGTATAACCAACTCACTTGACGTGGCGTTGTAAATGTAGAGTCTGTAACTCGTGAAAATATCTCCTTTCCCCCGTCACTCGATGAGAGAAACCTGTTATTTCACTAGACACGTGACATATGCTCTTTATATTTCCCTGAGTGGGTATGGCTTAGGAAGCAGTTCTTGGTGTCCTCCTCTGTCGCTGGGATAGTTGCTAAACACTACGTCAACTCATCACTCGTTTACGTGACGTCATGTGAGCCTTGTAGCTTGATACGTTTGTATAATTGCATTGCAATGTTTCAACAGCTATAACAATGATAAAATATTTCAAATATTTCCAATCTATCGACATTACTGTATATATTCCTGGCCAGCGCCCCACAGCCTATTTGTGTTATATGATAAGTAAGATTGTTTACATATGTGAGAAAGTATTTCCCGTTTCCTGAACAGTTTTGTATAAAGGTGTGAGTCGGGAGACTACATCCCTGAGGGTAACTGCTCAACTGATGGATAGATCAGCAATTGGTTACTTTGGTTAATCACTCAGCTTGAGGTGAAGAAATAAATAGTCTAGATCACGTACTCTGTGTACCCCTCTGATGTGTGTAAATTGCCACTCTGAGAGAGTTTGTTCGAATCCCGGATGGGACTCAACCACAAAAACTACTAGAATTTATACTTTACTAAGAAAATGTGTATCCCAAATATAACATTTGTTACATTTGATCACTTTATAAAAAGGCATTGTTTCGGTCATGGGAGCCGTGCCAAGTTACAGTTTTCAGAGGGGTACACAAAGTACGTGATCTAAACTACCAGTTGTCTGTCTTCCGTTTTATTGGAATCCTCGGTGGCTGAGTGGGTCAGATCGCTGACTTTGTGTGCTGGCGATTAGGTGCCTTACTCTGAGAGTTTGGGTTCGAATCCTGAATGGGTCCCAACCCCATAAAAGTACTAATATTTGTACTTTACTAACAAAGTGTTATCCGAAACATAACATTTGTTATAGTATAATAATAGGTATGTCGGCTACAAGTAACGATAAGCAAGTACCATCGTTAACACCTGAGCGATGGATTCCTGGGAAGGGTCCAAAATCACACGAGGAGCTCAGGGGAACAAATGTCTAAACTCAGTAGGCTTATTCAACAATGAACATATTTCTAGAACAAAACAAACAGATTAATTGTTTCATTAAAAAGAGTTGTAGTCTATACCGGGGAGACGTTGTGAAATCGTTATACCCATGAATATAACCTTATCAGCCTTACGATCTAAGATGTGAGGATGTTTTTGAAGCAATAAGACTTTCGCAGTTATATCGTTTAAAGATAAGCTGGCACAAACCGACACTAACGCTGCGTTTGCAATACTTCGGTTGTAGAAGATCTCAAGTTGTTCATTGTTGTAATAAATACATGTAAACAACTAACTGATATAGAATGTACACACTGAAGTAATGTAAGGCATGGCTGCTGGTATTTTAATCAGTATGCAGATACACTATTCATCCGACGGTGATGAGTACTAAGAAACAATTAGTGAAATTCATAAATACGTATATAATTAATTTCAGCTCAATGTCCTAGTGAGTGTTGCAGTGATGCATGATTGCAGTAGTGCAACAGTTTGAGAATCATTCATCGCTTTCCTCGTGTTGTTTATGTGTTTGTGGAGGTATCACCAGTCCACGTACAGTTTCACCATTAGGGAGAGCACCATTTCCCCCAGTGTGGTACCACACGATATACGTGTAATTGTTGTATGGCTTGTGACCCAGTGTACATGTCTCGCTGTATCCACTTGCAGGTCTGTCCCTTGCTGTTGTGCCTAGCAGCGCTTCCATACAGCTCTACGGATGTGTCGAAGACATGTAAAGCGTTGTGCCAGGGACCATCGGTCATCACGTATTGTCGAAGTTTGGTGAGATACTTTGAAAAGGGAAGAGTAGTGGACCATGCCAACGTAATCTTCACCTGTTGTTTGGGCTACAGCCTTGCTTCTACCGAAATCAACTACATTTCATACGAGTTTCACAACCCGGATGAACTGAACCAACTCGTTGGCATATTGAAGGAGGTTCGAAGCCTGGAGATGGCCGCCACGTATGCCAAGTGTATTCGAGATTGCAGCTGGGGCGAATTCCAGACATGGGACGTGGAAGAGGTCAAATTGTGTGTGAATGGTACGGGGAGCTGTGCTCATTACGACTGCCCTGTCGAGGTCGACACATTGGCCGCAGTTGACAAGTCAACGTAACGTTGCCGCTGATGTCGCACACAATATTGTCTGGCGTACAACGTTGATGCCATTGCATTATGACGTGCTCATCACGTGGTGCTACAGTTATCACGTTGCGTCCAACGACAGCCTGACGTGTCGTCGTGTCCCACACGGTGCACTTCGGTGTCCACCATGCCGTCGCCGTCGCCGCCGAACCACCACGTGGAGATCGTATTGTCCTAGCCAACTACTGACCAATACTATCCAACACATTTAACACATAGACTCTAAACACTATTACATGCAAGCAGTGAGGAGACCTGGGCTCCAAATGTGTGTGGCTCTCCGCAGTGTACTTCCGTCATTACCTCATGTACAATAGCTGTCGTACGTCCATCATTATAACACCGTTCCTTATTCGTTTAAAGAGAAGCATGCATGCACACCTAATCGTCGACAACATTAAACTCTATGTTTACATATCGTTACATCCATTCCTATCCAAGTGTTACTGCTATTTGCATTAACCTCTTTGTTTTAGTTGCAATACATTTTAAGTTACACACAGTTAAAAGTCAAACTGTTATTAGAAAGTCTTCTATGCGTGTTATCAGATGAGTTTTGTGAGTTATTCTACTGCTGACATTAATACCTTTGTTGAACATTTTTTAAAGTGAAAAGATCCCCTTTTACAGAGAAGTGAAAACGTTAAACCCAAATCCCGATTTGAAATAAACATGCATTCCAAGATTTGAAGATGTCTAAGCACTTGATTAGTTTGGCTAGTTCGTACCAATGTTTACTACCTGACACTTTAAATACACCACTATCTGCAGTTCATAATAATAAAGGTATACTCCTCGCGGGTAGCTCCATACTTGTGATCAAGAGTAGAAGTATGTTTCTTGAGTTCGGTGTTCTACACAGCTATGTGCACACGCATAGACAGCTGAATAATTACCACAGTCGTTGTGACCCTTCCGCTCGGAGCTGAGCTCACTACTCCCCGTTACTTACACTTTACTTAATCATTTCACGCATCAGCACATGGAGGCGCGTAAACCCGCGTTAATGTATGATCATGACAAATTGTATCACTTTCAGATAAATGTCAGATGAATCAATGAGTAGATTAAGTAGTAAAACATCGACTACTTAAACAAGATCCTTTGATGCAGCCACCCTGTGACAGAAGACTCTTGCAGGAACAGTAGTATCTACAGCATGCAGCGTCCTCGGCGTGCCGAAGTCAAGATCAGGTGGGATGGGTCACCCACATCATGGTCCCTCCCAGATTCTCCTCAGTCGAAGAGAAATAATCTCTTCGGTCGTTTTCCTTTTATTATATGTTAGTTTCAGCTTGCTTGAAGTCTGTGGATGTGCAATTATTTACGAACCAAGTGCTCCTTGTAAAATATGTCTGTACCCGTTTATGTGTGTGACAGTATTATATAATGTATTTGATACTAACCGTCTGTACATACAACTTGTGTCAAGTAACCAAAGCAAGTACTGAATATAAAAAAATATCTATGAATAAACTTTTCACTTTTCACTTTGAGTTGCTGTTGTGATTTAAGCCTCACTGACAGAAACCACACGAGTGAGTGAGTGAGTTGGATTTAACGCCGCTTTTAACAGTATTCCAGTTATATCACGGCGTGTCAGCTTAATGTGGGAGGAAAGTTCGAAGTGATGCAGGTCTCAGACGTTTACCACTTCGGTGAAACCCACGAGCACGGGTATGGTGCTGACAAACCTAGAAACATAATCGGGGCGAACCGGGATTCGAACCCACAATCATATGAAACCACACGAAGGTGTACGAACACAACGTATTGATTAATTGATATGGAGGCTAAAAAAGGATTTATTTTGATGACGTTCATCGTTTTCAAAGAATGAACGAATTTGGTATTTTCTCTTGCTGCAATACAAGTGATAAAACAGTACTTTAGACTTTTTGGTTGCTACCTCTGAGCTTTAAAGCTGAGTAGTCAACACTCTTCTTTTAACAAGATAATTATGTACATTAGGGCTGAGACGAGGTGGAATGGGGTTGAACGTCCAGTTCAAGATTGTTGAACTCATATAGCGACGCACGTGTGTGTGTGTCCAACATCAATATCGCTGTACAACATCCACTAACACCAATATCCCTGTTCAACATCCAACACTGATATCCCTGTACAACATCCACCAACATCAAGATCTATGTTCAAAATCTGTATCTCTGTACAACATCCACCAACATCATTATCTCTGTACAACATCCACCAACATCATTATCTCTGTACAACATCCACCAACATCATTATCTCTGTACAACTTCCACCAACATCAATATCGCTGTACAACATCCACCAACATCATTATCTCTGTACAAAATCCACCAATACCAATATCCCTGTACAACATCCACCAACACCAATATCCCTGTACAACATCCACCAACACCAATATCTATGTTGCCCCTATACATCCACCAACGTTACCCCACCTGAAAACTGCTTCACAAAGTAACTGTCTGTCTATGGTTATGTAATACCACAACTACTTCATGCAATGCCATGGGACCTCGGTCACAATGCAATGTTACCTGGGTCCCACCTGTCTTCTTTAACCTTCTACCAATCCTGAATCCATAATTGATTTATATTTACTCTAAGGTACTAGTTGAGCCAAATTGAACAATGCCAGTGTACAGTACTCTCTGAGTCATCTACTGATGTAGTTCAACCGTGACTTATTTTGGTACATATACTCTATTTTCATTCAAAATGATGAATGGACTGTCATGTAACATACCCCAGGCACAGGGAAACTGAATTCTAACATGAAACATAAACAAGCCGATGTAGCCCGCCCAGTTTAAGTGACATTTTGACCAGTCTGAAAAGGTAAAGTGCTATCTCTTTATTTAAGGCAAGGTCATTTTTGTAATTATCTTTTTCACAAATGGGCGATTATTTACAGACCGCCGTTATATAGCTGGAATATTGCTGAGTGCGGCGTTGAACAACCAACCAACCACGTCTCTACATAGTACACGTTACTGATAGTTCTGTTTGACACCTGTGTGTAAGCATGTCTCTGTACATAACACCTGTGTGTAAGCAAGTCTCTGTCTGTGACACCTGTGTAAGCAAGTCTCTACACATGACACGTGTGTAAGCAAGTCTCTGTACATGACACCTGTGTAAGCAAGTCTCTACACATGATACATACCTGTGTAAGCAAGTCTCTACACATGACACCTGTGTAAGCAAGTCTCTACACAAGACACCTGTGTAAGCAAGGCTGTACATGACACCTGTGTAAGCAAGTCTCTGTACATGACACCTGTGTAAGCAAGTCTCTATACATGACACCTGTGTAAGCAAGTCTCTGTTCCTGACACCTGTGTAAGCAAGTCTCTGTACATGACACCTGTGTAAGCTAGTCTGTGAATGATACCTGTGTCAGCAAGTCTCTGTACATGACACCTGTGTAAGCAAGTCTGTATACATGACACCTGTGTAAGCAAGTCTCTATACATGACACCTGTGTGTAAGTAAGTCTCTGTCTGTGACACCTGTGTAAGCAAGGCTGTACATGACACCTGTGGAAGCAAGTCTCTGTACATGACACCTGAGTAAGCATGTCTGTACATGACACATGTGTAAGCAAGTCTGTACATGACACCTGTGTAAGCTAGTCTGTACATTATACCTGTGTAAGCAAGTCTCTGTACATGACACCTGTGTAAGCTAGTCTGTACATGACACCTGTGTAAGCAAGTGTCTGTACATGACACCTGTGTAAGCAAGTCTGTACATGACACCTGTGTAAGCAAATCTCTATACATGACACCTGTGTAAGCAAGGCTGTGCATGACAACTGTGTAAGCATGTCTCTGTACATGACACCTGTGTAAGCAAGTCTGTACATGACACCTGTGTAAGCAAATCTCTATACATGACACCTGTGTAAGCAAAGCTGTGCATGACACCTGTGTAAGCAAGTCTCTGTACATGACACCTGTGTAAGCATGTCTGTACATGACACATGTGTAAGCAAGTCTGTACATGACACCTGTGTAAGCAAGTCTGTACATTATACTTGTGTAAGCAGGTCTCTGTACATGACACCTGTGTAAGCTAGTCTGTACATGACACCTGTGTAAGCAAGTGTCTGTACATGACACCTGTGTAAGCAAGTCTGTACATGACACCTGTGTAAGCAAATCTCTATACATGACACCTGTGTAAGCAAGGCTGTGTATGACAACTGTGTAAGCAAGTCTGTACACGACACCTGTGTAAGCAAATCTCTATACATGACACCTGTGTAAGCAAGGTTGTGCATGACACCTGTGTAAGCAGGTCTCTGTACATGACACCTGTGTAAGCAAGGCTGTGCATGACACCTGTGTAAGCAAGTCTCTGTACATGACACCTGTGTAAGCAAGGCTGTGCATGACACCTGTGTAAGCAAGTCTCTGTACATGACACCTGTGTAGGCAAGTCTGTACATGACACCTGTGTGACCCGTGAAGATTCCGGGTAGAATAGGTCTTCAGCAACCCATGCTTGCCGTAAAAGGTGACTGCTTGTCGTAAAAGGCGACTAACGGGATCGGGTGGTCAGGCTCGCCGACTTGGTTGATGCATTTCATCGATTCCAATTGCGTGGATCAATGCTCATGATATTAATCACTGGGTTGTCTGGTCCAGACTCGATTATTTACAGACCGCCGTCAAATAGCTGGAATATTGCTGAGTGCGGTGTTAAACAACAAACCAACCATCCAACATGACACCTGTGTAAGCAAGTCTCTATACATGACACCTTTGTAAGCAAGTCTCTGTTATTGACACCTGTGTAAGCAAGTCTCTGTACATGACACCTGTTTAAGCAAAGTCTCTGTTAATGACACCTGTGTAAGAATGTCTGTGAATGATACCTCTGTGACTGTGCATCATATATGTTTGTAAGTATATCTTTGTCGTTACTGTAAAACATTGTGAGGAAATAGAAGACACATTGAAATCTATTTGAAACAACTGCAAAGAATAATACAAAAGATATATTTTATTTCATATTCATACATGACAAGGACCTTTATGTCTGGCACAGGGACACATCTGCTGTTTTCCTTCTGCAGGAGAATCTTCCTCTGGCCACTGCAGGCTTCTACATGTACATTAGATTTGTCTTCAGGTGGCACACTGTACAGTTGTGAAGTGTATGGAGAAGAACATAATGATAGTATAAGTACCTTCACATTCATCACCAGGGCAATATATTACAGAAATGCTGTAGCTTGCATCAATTAATATTACAATACATCAATACAATAACCTAAATGACGCCAGTATATTCATTTACATAAGGCTTCTGCATAACATCAGTATACATTTCTGCTCTTACAAGACATGACTGAGATGTACTAATGTATACTCTTATAGGACACTTCTGAAATATATTTCTGTTTTATCCAAGATGACATCACTGAAATATGTTTCTGTTTTATCCAAGATGACATCACTGAAATATGTTTCTGTTTTATCCAAGATGACATCACTGACACATGGTAGTGCAGTATCTTACATGACATCACTGAAATATGTTTCTGTTTTATCCAAGATGACATCGCTGACACATGGTACTGCAGTATCTTACATGACATCACTGAAATACATTTCTGTTTTATCCAAGATGACATCACTGACACATGGTACTGCAGTATCTTACATGACATCACTGAAACATGTTTCTGTTTTATCCAAGATGACATCACTGAAATATATTTCTGTTTTATCTAAGATGACAACACTGACACGTGGAAATGCAGTATTTTTTTACTTGACATTTCTGAGATATATTTGTTTTATCAAAGATGACATCACTGACACATAGTACTGTAGAATCTTACATGGCATCACTGAAACATATTTCTGTTTTATCAAAGATCACATCACTGACACATGGTAGTGCAGAGTCTTACATGGCATCACTGAAATATATTTCTGTGAAACATCATATGGCATCACTGAAACACAGTACTGATTAAACTTCTATGACATCAATGACATATATTTATGTATTACCTTATATGACATGACAAAAAGTATCTCATGACATCACTGAAACATTTCTGTTGTATCTCATGACACCATTTGAATATTTTACTGAAATATAGTTTTGATATTATCATATTTGCATAACACAGCATATTATCTTACTTTCCTGAAGCCTACTTAACATCAGTGTAATATACAACTGTATTAATTAATTGTCCAATTACAGACACCATGTAATCAGCAACTGACACACAGAAAGTTATCCCAAAGTTTAGGAAGTAGTGAGTTCATCAAACATAAGGGCTTGTCGATATTGCAATATGTGTGCTTGAGAATCAACTGCCAGTTTAAGGAAAACTTAGACAAATTAAGTTTCATTGAATGTGAAAGAAACATGACTTCACAGTTTGACTTTCCACTTCCTATTTCACTTGGAGGTATCACTGTAGCTGCAGGAAGGTTAATACTGGTGTGATAGAATGTGCTGCCCTCTATTGCTTCAAGTAGCAACACCCGACATCTAAACAATGGTTCCCAACCACTGGTTGGGTAATGGTATCTGATCACAGCAGTGGCAGTTCCTCACACAGGCTTGCTTTAGACTTGTTACACAGCTAACAGTCTTAGCACAGTGTATCACATGCTTCACGTCACCGCTTTCAAGTTATTAACACAATGCAATAATATCTTGAGTGGCAAGATACAGTAAAGAGTGACTTATGTAAGGACATGGTGGGTGGTATCTCAGATACACCATCTTAACAGAAACTACTGGAGCTCAATGCAAGCACCTGACCTTAAGGTAAGAAATATCCAAGTGATGAAGCAAAGCGGAGGTCAAGACACAGACAATCTATATGATGCTTAGTGTCAATATATATGACACAGAACTGTACTGCTGGCAGCATCAATAACAATCAACCTGTCCTGAATTGTCCACATGCAATCAATCATTCACATTGTTTTAGCAAAACTACTCAGTGTACATAAAATCACATAACACTGTGTATATATATATATAAACAATAAATAAGTGTATAAATAAGTTCTTCTAAATGGAATGTTCTAGATGTATATACATAATAAATAATAAAATAATACTGCTAAAAGTACAGCACATCACAGACTAAGGCGTGGCACCTGCAGGTGTAGAGGCAGCTGGGCCAGGGCGCAGATCACCTGCACATCACAAGTGTTTAGTATTGTTACAGTTTACAAAACTTGTCACTGTCACTTCCTCTTATGTACTGAAACAGAAGCTAAAACAATGAAGTTGCAATAACAAAAACACCTCAAAACATTATACTTTATACCATTCCTTGTTTTACATCAATTTCATTAAATATTTCTTCAATAAAAGAAAACCTTTTGACTTCAGCCATTATTAGAAACTTTAAATGATATTAAAATAATATGATAATGAATATTAAATAGCATGGCATTTGACTTAGGGCTAAAAGATACTGAACAAAAGATGTTGAGCTCACTCTTCATCAGGGTGTCATGAAACATGATGGGTAATAAAAACAGTACTGACCAGAATAATAGATCTCATAAAACTAGACCTTCATTCTCAGAGCTGTATATAACCAGGTAGATAAATATGCTCGTATGTACGACAGGTATCTCTGCCTGTGTCTAATGAAGCACACACGGCAGTTTCTGTACATTATGCTGGCTGGAGGGATTATGAGGTATACATACTGGATCTTGTTACGTCTTCATATCATTACAGTGATCGTTATTCTTAGGGGTTTGTGGCAGAAAACATTTTCTGAATTCTTCATCAGACATAGACAAAGGTGGGGGTGTCTTACCGACTTGGCCAGCCAATGTGGGTATTGGGGAGCGAGATGAAGACCTATGAGGTGACCGGGAAGTTGATCTTCGGGGTGACCTTGATGATGACCTTGAGCGTGACCTTGAGGGTGATCTAGATCTTAAAGGACGGTCTAATGTAGGAGGACTGTCAAGGATGCGAACATGATTCTTTTTCTTGGGTGATCCAGTGGGTGTTGAAGACCTCAAGATGGATGTCGGCCTGAGGTTACCACTCTGAATCAGAGAAGGCATGCTGTTAACCACGTTAATACAGACATGATGACAAAAGCAGAAATAAGTGTTGACATTAATTATGTGTAAAATCAATTTGTGTTATCATTAATAATAGTTATCTGTATTAATCACTGCAGTAAAATCCACAATATTTTCAGCAGAAGCTGTCTTCACTTTCAACTATCCATAATCAGTTGTGCAGACAATAGTGTCCTGCTGCCCAATGCTCTTGCGCATGTCCAAGGTGGAACACCTCACTCCTTTGCAACAAAACATCTGCCAGATGCAAAAATTTCGAAGGTTGGCAGGATTACTCTTAGAATTATTAACATTAACTATTGTTTGATAATTCCTGTGACTATTCTACCTCTAATACATCACTGCTTGAATATACCAGAGGAACAGAACTGATGGGTTCTGACGCATCTTCCCAGCCTTCATCCATGTACATCAGCCAGCTTGGTAAACAACTGAACATTGATTGAACCGAGCAAATCTTTCCACCTCCAGCAGGCTGAGTGTGGATTTCCAGCAATCTTTTACTTCCCACACTCTCTGCAGTCCTTAGGCAACAATGGTGAAGAATATGCCATACTGTCCTACATCATGTCACCAGTAACTACTTACATGACCAAACACAGAATAATCAGCCTAAAGTGCAATACTAAGTAGCTTGTAACATTTAACTATAGACTACATAGACTATATACTACAGTGTGACAAACTACCAAAGTGTGCAAGACAAAACCTTTGTCAGATGTTGAATCTAGCACACACAGGAAAGAAGAGATGTTTCCTGCCTTCCGCATATGGAAGAGTATTGGTCAGCGGGACACTATTGTTTGCACAACTGATTATGGATGGTGGACAGTGAAGAGGACTGCTGTTGAAAAGATTTTTATAGTGTGATGACAGCCAAAATACAGGATTTATGGCAGTGATGTAATGCAGGTACGATATTCTAAGGAATTAGATACATTAATTTAAACATATACGGATCAAAAATCTCTGTAAGTAATAGTCAACATACACCTGTATTGTTCAGTAACATTGATATTGATTGTTTCATCCAAATTGCATTGAACTTTCAAATTGCATAAAGAAAGGTGTGTGAATATGATGGAGGCTTCAAGCCTTCACATGACAGCAGAATATGATGGAATATACAAAAGTAAGGCTTGAGATAAGAAATTTATCAAGGTCAACACATATCCTCTGCCACTTGGTCAGTTCCATATTAAAGGCAGGAACAGATTTACAGTTAGGTGAGATCACATAATCTTTACTTTTCACCTGAGGCAAGATGTCCAGGAGTTGTCATGTTGTGCTGGATGTGCCTCGTGAGCCAGAGGCTGCTGTCATCCTGACGATGGGGCAGATCATATCTCAGGACAATACAGAAGTAGGGAGTGCTTTTTGAGGGTATTATAAATAATGGACATAATGGACAACTAACTTTTTTCCATGCATAGTTTCCCATCCTCTTTTCAATCATGAAATAACAGGTTATGTACCCATAACATCTACACACTCATTCCTGAACATTACTAGTGCGTACCCCCAGGATGGTTTCAGGTCATTAGGCCATCATAAAGGTTTATCACCAGGTATCAGACACACCTCTACATCCATCACTGGGAACAATGCTGCATTGAGAGGCAATCTATTATGGACAGTCTGGTCGCAGGGCAGTGCCTTATACCTTAGAGATCTTGTAGTCAGACTTCACAAGCACTTAAGGTAATGGAAGCTACATCTATCAGTCATCAGGTTTCTATTGTTCGCATGAGTCAGTGTCAAGAACACAACAAATGACAGAAAAAGCAGTTTATCATATATCAGTAATGACAGCACTGCCCACTGGGGTGATGGGTGACTCCACAGGAAGCTGGACCATCAGGACAAGATTTGGAATGGGCCATTAACAGTTTAACATGGACAGTGATCTCAGGGCCCCCAGCAGATAGAGAACTACATGACACAATGTCCCAGTGTGAGGGCTTCATGATCAGTCTCAGGCCCTACCTTAACTACTCAACCATCTCTAAATCTGTTAACTGTATCGGTCATGTTTCTGGCTCACCTGGTAGGAAGAGCAGCCTGTAGACTTGATATCTTCATGGAGGGACCTCATTGTCTCACGGAGTCTGAACAATATGACACAGAAGAGCTATTAAAATCATAGACACTTAATTTGCAAACTGTCAACCACTTATTTTGTTGCAATAATTACATTTAAAAAACAAATTCATCACTTTCCCTACTTAAAATGTATTCGGTTGTATGATCAATAGCCTTGGAACCATATCAGATACCACTTCACACCCTCATGTATCATGTACTTACCTAATGCACATGTAAGAGGTTATTACTCTTCAAACACTGCCTACTCAACAGCACACCCTGTCCACAGTGTTGAGTATCCCACTGTTCTCTCTCTCCACATTACCACACACTGTCACCCAACAGCACACACCCTCCACACACTGTCACCCAACAGCACACACCCTCCACAGTGTTGAGTATCCCACCGTTCTCTCTCCACATCACCCACACACTGTCACCCAACAGCACACACCTTCCACAGTGTTGAGTATCCCACCGTTCTCTCTCTCCACATCACCCACACAGTCACCCAACAGCACACACCCTCCACACACTGTCACCCAACAGCACACACCTTCCACAGTGTTGAGTATCCCACCGTTCTCTCTCTCTCCACATCACCAACAGCACACACCCTCCACACACTGTCACCCAACAGCACACCTCCACAGTGTTGAGTATCCCACCCTTCTCTCCACATTACCACACACTGTCACCCAACAGCATACACATGCCACAGTGCAGACATTAGGAGAGCTGACCTGTTATATCTTTTTTCTATCAGGTCCCGCTCCTGTTGACCACCCTGAAATAGAGAAAGGTGACATTGACATCCAGAAACATTTGTTGCATGTAAGAACAAAACTTAAGAGAGTAGTATCTCAATGAATGAAGTACTGAGAAACCCTGTAAATATGGGCAGCACTATTCCCAGGGGCTAACTCAACATCGGAATCAATGAATCATGGGAACACACTAACATACTACCCACAAAAAAAGGGAACTGATGAAATGATAGTGAAGGAGTAATGACGATAAATGTCTGTTTAATTATTTTCAGCCATGTAGATCAATATCTGGTGTGTACACCATTCAGGGCAATATATGCATGACATGTTGATGGCATACTGTTGATTAACTTGTGTATTGCCCGCCATTCCACCTGAAGAACTTCCAGAAGCTTGGCCACATTGGCAGGTTTGGCATACACCATCCTCCCAAGAGGGTCATGTCAGGAGATTTAACAGGCCAGTCCAATGTCCATATGCCATATTACCCATGTCTCATTGCAACCCTACCCATTTGACAGCACTTGTCCCACAGTTGCAAAAATTATGATTTTCGATTAGCCAAACATTCAGGCAACTTGGGACATTGACGTCCACCCCAACCCCACCCCCTGTATCACACACACAATTCACCATTTTGTGTGTTCATGGAGACTGTAACTGAGGCATTTTTAAGTGTGTGCTTAGGTCAACTGCATTAGCGTCACACACTTTGGCTTCTGTGAGCATGCACAACATTAAATTTCATTGTGATTACATGTTGTGTTCAGATGCAACGCCACAGTATTGTAAATGTACACCTCAATGATAGCTACATTCAAATCATTAGTTCCCTTATTCTTTGTCGGTAGTATTTAACTTTCATCATATATACGGTAGTCAATCTGAAGGTCAGGTTTCCAAATGAAGTTACAAATACACACTTCTAATATTATGTTGTCAATGCCTCAGGCTGTTGGTCCTGAAAGCGTTCAAATGCAATATCTTTCTGAAGTGAACATACATAGTTTGTGCAAAAGAAGAGAGGACAAGAAAATCCAGAGCCTCCTCCATACTTGGTGTTTAGCCTAGTATGAGTTAGCATGTCTAATGGCTAATACTCAACACTTGGTGAATCACCCACTCAGAAAACAACACATCCTCATCCACTGACATGTACTGATAGACACAGATACATTCATAGATGATTCTGATTCAAGATGAAGATTTGAGATTAAGGTTCTATCAAATCCTTACTCAGATTACTAGTCTCTCCTTCATCTGCCAGGGGCCAGCAGGGCCAGTAGGCCGACATTGGTCAAACAAACGCTTGTCTATAGATTTGACATCCTCTCCTGGGGAATCACATGAATGCGAACTGTCTGTACCTACTGTAATACCTCTTTACTTTTTCACATGAAAAAAAGAGAATAATTGGAATAATAATTGTTAGGTTTATCCTTCACTTTAGGTGTGAGTTGCAGCTAACATTATGGCATCCTTCACACTCTGAATATATGGGATTGAAGTTCAACTAAACTCTTTACCCAAATAACCACCTTGAAGTGAAGCCTCACATGACATCTGACCATCACACTCACAGACTGAATTGGCTGTTGATAATGATTGGTCTTTAAAGTGCAATTATCATGAACAAAATTGATTGTGATTTTGTTGCGAATATCAATTTTCCTATTCAATTCCAGAGAGAGAAAAAAGTCATAACAATAGCAAAAACATATTTAAATGTCCAAGCGAAAGTACTGACACCACACATTACGTATTCCAAAACAAAACTATTGGGGGGCCAGGCAAAAGCTACCGGTGCAATGGTTCAGTGGAGCATGACAATTGTTTTCATTGGCTAATATGTAAACTTGGTTCACTGTCTGTCTACTATACTGTGCCAGTGCAAGGCAGGAATGCACTTCTTACCAATAAACAACATCCTCAGGGATAATTCTAGGGTGGGGCCCTGTGCTTTTAGCCCCTTAATTTGAAAAAAGGCCCACATTTTCAAATACAATTGGGCATTTTAACATTGTGCTGTATGGGCAAGTGTGGGTGTTCCTCTGGAATATTTGAAATTTTCACATAAAGGGCCCATGTCAGAAAATTCCTAGAGTGAACCCTGCATCCCAGATGCCTGATAAATAGGGGGGTGGGAGTGATCAATCCTGATGTAACAGAGGTAGTATTCTTAGAATTATACACAATGATAACTATTGTTTGATAATTCCTTCAAAAGCCTTACCTCTATTACAAATAGCCAAAATACACCAGAGGGAAAAGTGGGATCTGGCGGCTAGTAATCCCAGATAACTGACAGCAGTGAATAGGTAACCTGAAGGAACGGTGTGTAAAATGCACAATACAATATAGTTTCTTTGAAAACTTGTGATACCTGCATTATCCTCACGTCCCTTCTGGTATCTTTGACGTCACATCCGACTTCATGACGTAACTTCCCATCTGGATGACGTCACTTCTGCTCAATATCACATCACTTCCAGTTGTATGATGACACTTCTGTTTATGATGATGATCTTATGATGATGATCTTATATGAAGATGACACTTCTGGTTTATGTTCTCAATTTCTGTTATGATGTGACTTCTGGTTGACAAAGCAGTCTGACATACTTCAAGAGGTATCCACGCATTCTCATTAACTGACATAACTTCCATATTTAATATGTTCTAATGGAACTCACATCCAGAGATGCATGTAATTCTGACATACTATGATATGTTTGGATGGTACTCCCATCCAGACACTTACATTACTGATGTCACTTCATTGACATTATGTTCTGACAACTCCAAGAGATGTCCAGACACGTATATACCCAAGATCACTCTCAGATCTTATATTGTGATTCCATTGTGTTAACCTTATCTTGTCACCCCAGTTGACCAAGATCGAAGAATGAACTTACTGTTTGTTAGCTGTAATCTTTTCCCCTCCTCTGATGACCTGGCATCATTTCCCATGGCTAGGAGAAAAGCTGTCTTCTTAGACACTTGTAAAAGATTAGCTTCATGCATAGGTTAGTAAGATGCTTCTAGCAATGCAGACATGACCAAGGACAGGTTCCATTCAGCGAAGATACGTGAAGTTTAAATGTCTTCTAGTTGGAAAGACTTAATAAGGCAGTTCTGGACTGGGTGAGTACCTACTGAGAGCCCATGTTGGAGAACAAATGCTAGGGCTGATTATACCCTTTAATGGTGCCATTCCAAAATTCCTTCTCTTGTCTTACTAGCAGAAGATAATCAGTGACCTAAGGAATGGTTATCTGCACTTCTTCCACTCCTCCTACTCCTCTCCACTGGCAGAACTTCCTCCATCCAGTATCATATACGTGGGAAGATGAAGGTCTCCATGACCGAGGCACTGCTTCCATGGAGTAGGTCTGATCATGGTCATGACGCTCTGGGAGCTGTGAGGCTTCTCCACGAGTTATGGAAATAGCATGGGGTAGGATACCATGCTCTGTTGGGCCGCACTGGAGCTATTAGAAGGATGATGAAGTCCATCTCCTCCACCTTCTTGATTACTCTGTCTAGAAGAGACCAAGGAGGGAATGCATAGGTGAATATGTTTCTCCGACTCATGGAGAGAGCATCTAACTGTAGAGAAACTGGGTTCGGTACTGGGCTGACATAAACTGGGACCTTGTTGTTTGGACAAGTCACAAAAAGATCACTGTGTGGGTTGTCCCAAATCGATGTGATCCACCGGAATACCTCTGGGTGATGAAACCATTCTGTGAGAAATCTGTTTCTACTGGAGAGATAACCTGCTAGGATGTTCAATGTTCCCTGGTATGTGGCAGGCCTCCAAGCTGCAGCTGATCAAGTCATTCGAGATGAATAAAAGTGTAACCTCCTTCAGCAAATTCTCTGATCTTGTCCCTCCTTGATCTGGATGTAATTTACTACAGAAGTGCTGTTTGTTGCCACTAGTACTCATGACTGAAGTAACTGTAGACTCCATGCCTTGAGGGCAAGATAAATGGCCTGCATTTCTGGACCATTCTTGTGAACACCCTTGTCCTGTGACCACTATCCCTGGATGGTCCGATCATCCATGTATTCTCCCCATCCTGTGCTTGAGGCATTCATGTACAGGTGAATTACTGGAGGAGGAAACATGAGGGAAATGCCTGGTGTGATGGTGTGGTAGGAGAGCCATCAATTCAGATCTAAGAGTCAGGAGGCTGGAGGTTGATTCATCTCATCTAGAACAAGTGCTCTTGATGTATTCGTCGAATTCTGCAGAGCCCACAAATGTAACCTTCCTCTGTACATAAGGTCTTGCAAGTAATGTGAGGTTTCCTGCAAGCAGGACACCGACCATTGGCAGATTGGCCTGGGCAGATCTGTCTCCTCTGTAATCATATTTGTTAACTTGATAAACCTGTCCTGAGCCATGACATCTGTGCGGTTTTAATTAGATTGAATTAGTTGACATTTGTCCTGGTCCGCCAGAGATGAACTCATTATTTGTATTTCCATATGTTCGTCTTTGGTCCTATTTCTGTACAGGGAAAGAGGTACCTACTACAAGTTGAACCCTGTACAGTAGAGAGTGGTGTCTGTCCTCAGCTTGACCCTGTACAGTAGAGGGTGGTATCTACTCCTGGCTGGACCCTGTACAATGGAGAGTGGTATCTACTCCAAGTTGAACCCTGCACAGTAGACAGTGGTATCTACTCCAAGCTGGACCCTGCACAGTAGAGAGTGGTATCTACTCCTGGCTGGACCCTGTACAGTGGAGAGTGGTATCTACTCCAAGTTGAACCCTGTACAATGGAGAGTGGCATCTACTCCAAGTTAAACCCTGCACAGTAGACAGTAGTTTCTACACCAAGCTGGACCCTGTACAATGGAGAGTGGTATCAACTCCTGGCTGGACCCTGTACAATGGAGAGTGGTTTCTACTCCTGGCTGGACCCTGTACAATGAAGAGTGGTATCAACTCCTGGCTGGACCCTGTACAATGGAGAGTGGTTTCTACTCCTGGCTGGACCCT